TGTCAGTAAAATCAGTAAAAAAAAAATAAAGTAGATAAGCTAAAGATCGTCACTTTTGATCAAATTTACTGGAAGATAAACATCAAGAAAAACGTCTGTAATTTTAGCGAAATTACAATTCCTTAAATATTTGCGATATTGACAGAAAGTAATGACTGTTGAAGATTGGTGTCAGCTAATTAATAAATAATTAATGCCCGTGCCTCGACAATGCTTTTCGCCAGCCTCACGTTATGCTTTATTAAATTTCGTCTTCATCACTTATCTCATGCGCGCGATAAAGTCATCATCCGAATAACATGTCCGAGAAGTATACACTGTTGTTATTACGGCACATTAAGGCCAATGTTATAACTCGTTTTCCCGGGGTTTCGCATAATGAACGTGGGCACTCGCCCTAATCTCGTGATTGTCTATTAACGTATCGCGCGTACTAACGCGCCGCGCGCCGCTGCTGATTCCTCCTTTTCTCTCCGCGCGGTAATTTAATCGTGATTTCCGCGGATGAATGCGAGACGGGGACATAGTGTGCAACACGATGCCAGACGAAACCAGTTCTCAGGATAAAAGCGAAAGAAGAGGGAGGGAGAGAGAGAGAGAGAGAGAGAAGTTTGACCCCAGGGGAGTGTTCTCTCGGTTCTATAGGGTGTCTCGTAATCTGCCATCCAAATAATAGAGCATGCGATTTTCTTTCACGAGTTTCATCTGAATACATATATACATTTCGGGAGCGCGCTTTGAATAATACGTATCTGCATGATTTTTTATTGTAATTTGATTGGATTTTATAAAGGGAAAATGTGAGATGTGATTTAATAAATGATTCAATAGGCTGTCATGCGAGGAAGGATGGATTTGTGTCGATACTTTTAAATGTAAATTAGTTTACAGTGGTCGTATGAAAAGAGAACTAATGGATCATTAGAAGGAGATGGGACTGTAAGAATTAAATATCTAAATTAATATATATCAAGGCGAATGTGCGAATGCGCATTAATTTATAATAGTCGAGTTTACGAATTGAAACATTAGTAAAACATTGGAAATCAATTAAAATAAATATATGAAAGTAGAACTTTTGCGAAATAAATCTTTATATAAATTGTCATGCACAGAATAGCACATATATATATTTCTCCGAATGATATCTGCGTTTATTTTTGTATTTATGATAAACAAGATATGATGAGTAGTTCTTTTAAAAAATTTGTTCGTTTATCAATAATTTCAACGTTCGTATATTTCTTTCAGGTTATCAAATGTTTTTGCTCTGTTTTAATTTTTTTTTTTTTTTTATATACTGATGTACAAAATTTTCTCCGGAACACCAATAGGATTATTACGTATCACGTATCGATTCATTGAAAAACAATTAAAGATATTATCTTACACATTACGAGATAACGTTGTTATACAAACGTGGTTGAAACTTCTTCACCTTGGTACTTCACCGATGGCAGGTGTGTGCACTTTAATGCGGCGTACATTGTTTATGCCAGCTGCTTGAAACTATACACGTGTTTGCTTCAAGTATTCGTGGATTGGTGGAAAAAGCGAAAGAAGTGTTATCACGAAATATTGCACACGTTAGTAATCAAGACCTTTCATTGTCAATAAAATGTATCATTTAAATCCTTGTTAAATGATTCAACACTTACACACATACAAGTTACATATTTATCAAATTTTTTTCTTGGTTATTAACTGCATTTTTATACACTATTTTTGTTCGTGATTATTTATTCTTAATAGCTTGGTCTGATGATGGTCCGAATCTATTTTGATACGATGTGATAATAGCTCATGTTTTTAACTTGATTATTTCTCTCGCTGTGATTTGATACACGGTTGATAGGAAAGATAAAAAGACGATTACTCGAAGCGAAACGGCGCGGCGCGCGTTCGCACTCAATTGATTTTCGTTCGCTATTCGTTTTCCGGATTCCACCGTACGCGATGATACGCGCGAAAGATGCCCGTTCTCCGCTGATGCGTCCATAAATTGCACGGCGACGACGCGATCGTAACTTGTCGAGAAAACGAAACGATGACAGGAAGCATGTGTTTTCACGAGGAAATGTTACGACAGAGTAAACGTTCAAGTAGAAGGCTCTTACTCCCTTTTCCATCGTCTTTTCCTCGCCGAGTCTCTCGCTCACAGACTGATGGCACGTCCGTTATGCATACGGAAAAACTTGAAAGAAATACTTTTCTTGCGTTTCACATTTTGCAAGTTCCCGTGACAAAGTGAAAGATAATTTTATGGGAAAATGAAAAGCGTGGCTGTTATATCGACATAAAAGAAAATGTATCACGTTCCTTAACTTGGTTATATGACACGGAATATAGACACAGATATAAATGCTGATATAAATAAATATAAAAATATTAAGAAAAATAAAAAATGAACGTATTACATGTTAGATATTGATGCACATAACTTGACGTACTTCGATAAGCATATATGGAATATAGATAACGTATCTATTTGCATTTTGTTACAAAGTATCATGCACTGAAATTGTTATCGCTATTCCATAAAAATATATTTTTTAAATATTTTTCGCGCTTTTTATAGTATCTTATCTTTATTCTACCGTAAAATTCCCTATCATACAAAATTTTTGATATTATTCTATCTAAGATTATGTTTTTTGAACAATGCAACCATGCGTATAATATACTGGAAGTATTTTCTGACTTGTGTTCTGCAATGTTATCGATGCTAAGACGCGAGAGATGGGTTATTTGATTATATTATTAACGAATATCATAATTATGACCTGACGAAGTTATCAGATGCTTAACGAAGACCATGAAACTCGTCTCAAGAAACTTACAATCTTTGCGTAACAAATGACATTTAATTTAGTTAGACGATCGAGAATCACGAAAATTACTCTTTTCTTGTAATATTATTTTATGCTTATATAATTTTTTAGCTAGGCGTATAATAAATTAGAAGATATATTATAATGTACCTTAGTTATATTTTACATTAGCACAAAATGTATGTTTTTCTTATTTTAATCAAGAATATTTTAATATTACAGAAGTTTTTTAGTTTTGAAATATAAGATCTATATTTTGTTTCTAATTGGTTCATTGATCGTGATAAGATCGTGATAACATTTTTTAACGTTACTGTGTTATCATAACCGATTGATGCTTCTGGGGATATTCTATTCGATTTTTTACTTACGTTCTACTTGATTGTGCGATCGATAAGACTGATAGATTCTCGATGACAGTTTCAGTATATTTTAGTTTGTCGCAACAGTTTGGTAGTTTTTCCACGAGACAGAGCCTGTCTTTTCTCAACATGGAAATTTGTGAGATGAAAAGATGGGACGCCGTGCAGGAATACTTTAAGGATTTCCGAGAGTTATTTGAGTTTGTGAGTGCACTCAACTTCCATTTTCTTTACTTTCTTTAACTTCGATAAATTTTGTGTGATAAATCTTCGATGAGGTGTTCAGAAATGACTAGGAGGAATGCGCGATAATTTTGAAACTTTTTTCTTCCAATATAAGTTTTCTTTTGTTAGAATAATCTCGTAATGAAAAAAAAGCGATATCACAGACATTAGATATCCTAATACTAATATATTCTACAAAAGATATATATCTTACGAAGGTGTATGCAGAATTCTCTGCAACTAATCAGTTATTAATTAAGCTAAAATTAATTAAGTTAATTAAGTCAAATAGCGAATTTGCGCACAAAGGTTTTAAATAAATACGAAAATAAATCAAATTTATTCATATTTACTGATTTTCTGCGTTTGCGAAATTGCAAATCATTCGGAGTCTTCGGAATTTTCAACATCACCGTCATACACTACCGGCGATAAAAACGAGTGTTCAACATTCAATTATTCCAAGATTTTGATAAGAATAAAATCTTAATTAACTGGCAACACGTATGCTCTCAAGGTATTTCTCAAATGGACATAAAGAACTGCCGATTAACCCCGATGCAAGTCCATCTTCTCACAATCAGAAATACACATATCGTCATGACATACGTCGTTACTGTATTTCCATTGTTCTCGGGCAAAAATTGTGATGCCTACAATGCATATGCTTGCGGATCTTCTAGCGGAATTTTTCGTGACCTGAATTTCTTTCGCGCTAAACCCTGCGACTTTACAAGAATTAGGTACGTAGATGCATTAAATTTCTTGTATAAAACTCGTTTCTGATGGGATTTTAACGGTAGGCACATAATAATGCGAAGACTAATTAAAAATAATGTTGCAAATTAACCATTTTGTATTATTCATTATGTTGTATTATATTATAACCCAAATTTAAATTAACTTAAATAACAAAAGTTTAAAGAAGAATAAATGTGTGCGTGTCAAGCTATTTTAGCTGTAATTGCTAAATCAAAATTTGAAATCATAATTAAATTATACAAATTTTATTTTCCTTATTTTTCTTTCTATTTCCTAAAGCAGAGCAAAAATTAACGTTTTCTATATTTACCATTAAAAAATTCTGAAACCAGTATGTAAGACGTTCACATCCATTTAAGTCTAATTATTATCCTTTGCATTATCGCGAGAATTTTTACGAAATTTGTTAATATTTCTTACGAGTCTTGATCATTAAATTAATTGTATTTTATTATCTACACGTACGCAATCATCCTTTCTTAATAGATACATATCTTTCTGCGTGACGGAAATCCCGTTGTAGAAAAGCTACTGCCATGTTGCACAATGTTATCAAGAGTGGTGTTGCAAGTTTGATTTATCTGACATTATCTATTTACTCAGTCATAGCTAAACGAAAAATTAGTATGAACGAAGATAAAAGAACAATTTTTGTCTCACTTATAAATCATTCTCAATTGATATCAACATTGCACGAAGAGAATTTCTTAATTAAATATAAGATAAATGATTTTTCATGATTTCCAAGATCTTTGTGTTTATGTCATAAAATGTCGTCGAATTTTCGATAGAAGGGCTAATTATCTCTTTTCTCGGATAGATTGACGCGAACGGAGATGGCTTCATCAACGTTACCGAGTTGCGAAACGCTTTGGACGTTTGCGGCTTTAAAATGCCAGGCTACAAGGTGCGTCAGATGATCGAGGAATATGACGATAAGCAGCGACTAGAGCATAAAGGTCGGCTCTCCTTCGAGGAGTTCGAAAAGCTCTGCAAGGAACTCAAGGCCAACGAACTAGGCTCCACGTTCAAGCAAGTCGTGTCGAAAAAGGAGAACCTTGAGACTCTGGGTGGAATTTCCGAGGCGTCCAGCGAAGGAACCACGCATTCCGTCAGGCTTGAGGAACAACTGGCGTTCAGCGATTGGATAAACACCAATCTGTCGCACGATCCCGACTTGAAGCACCTGCTGCCCATCGATCCCGAAGGAAAGACACTCTACGACAAAGTCAAAGACGGAATATTGCTCTGGTGTGTATATTACACACATGTACATACACTTTTATGCAGCCCTATGATATCTCTTTTCGTTATTATGTATATAATAAGAATCAATATAATATATTTCAAAAAAGTGAATGTAAAAAAATTTATATTTATTTAGAATTATTTTAAAATTTAATTAAAATATATCTTTTCTATAATATTTAAATTAATAAATAATTTTGCTGATTAATAAAAGATGTAGCTGTGGAACTATAAGTATCCTTAAATTTAAATTAATTTCTAAATGTAATAATATCGAAATTTTATCAGTTTTTATTGATCTTTATTAATGACTCTAAAATTGATTAATTTATCGAAAATTAATTTTGTACCTATATTTTTCAGTAAAATAATCAATCACTCTTGCCCGGATACCATTGACGAGCGCACGATCAACAAAAAGAATTTGACGCTATACAAGAAGCATGAGAACTTGACGCTAGCTCTGTCCTCGGCCCAAGCTATTGGCTGCAACATCGTAAACATCGATGCCCATGACCTCACCAAAGGTTCGCCGCATTTGGTGCTGGGTCTTCTCTGGCAGATCATCCGAATTGGCTTATTTAACCAGATCACTCTCGAGAACTGTCCCGGTCTAGCCACTCTTCTGCAGGATGGTGAACGAATCGAAGATTTATTGAAGCTATCTCCGGAATCTATACTTCTCAGATGGGTGAACCATCATTTGGAGAATGCCGGCATCGCTAGGCGGTGCAACAACTTCCAGTCCGACATCACGGACTCTGAGATTTACACTTATCTCATCAAACAGATTGCACCTAACTCAGCTGGTGTCACCTTGGAAGCCTTGATGGAACCGAACCACATGTCTAGAGCGGAGATTATGCTTCAGCAAGCCGCAAAACTGGGCTGCCGTACTTTTGTGACACCTAGCGACGTTGTGAATGGTATTTATAAGCTTAATTTGGCCTTCGTCGCCAATATGTTTAACAATTATCCTGGATTAGACAAGCCGGAAAGCAACATAGAAGGTTTAGAGTCTCTAGAGGAGACGCGAGAGGAAAAGACCTATAGAAACTGGATGAACTCAATGGGCGTGGCGCCACACGTTAACTGGCTCTACTCAGACCTCGCTGATGGTCTAGTGATCTTTCAATTGTACGATATCATCAAGCCAGGCACTGTGAATTGGAACAAGGTGCACAAGAAATTTACAAAACTTCGAAAGTTTATGGAAAAGTTGGAGAACTGCAATTACGCCGTCGAGCTAGGCAAGCAAATGAATTTCTCGCTCGTGGGCATCGCCGGACAAGATCTCAACGACGGAAATGCGACTTTAACGTTGGCCCTGATATGGCAATTAATGAGGTCATACACTTTGTCGATTCTGACATCTTTGGCTGATACTCAGGGAAGCACCGTTGTGGAGAAAGAAATTGTTCAATGGGTGAATTCTAAACTCCAAGCGGCTGGAAAGACCAGCAGTATTAAGGGATTTCAGGATTATTCAATATCGGATGGCAAAGTCGTCCTCGACCTCATCGACGCCATCAAGCCCGGCTCGGTTAACTACGATCTCATCAAGGAGGGCGGAACTGGAGATGTAAGGTTTCCACTTATTTCTCAATATTCTTAGAACTCGTGTTCTTAGTTAAAGTCAAGGTTAATTCAATTTATATTGCAATAACTATTTCTATAGAGCATAGAGATGATCGATCGCGCCACGTTTATGCCACACTTATGCTCGTGTTATGTGCATATCATTGATATCGAGCTCTGTAGACTTTAACTCATAATGCAAGTTAATTAAACATTGCAAAATTTTAAATTGCAAGAAATAATTTTGATTTTTGAATCAAAATATTGTCAAAAGTTTTTCCAAAAATTATTTTAAAGGAGATACTAGTAATATTGTAAAAGGAGGGAAAGAGATCTCGAAAACTTATTTCCTAAAGCATCCAAAAACTAATAAAAACATTCGCAAATTTCTCTAGTTTTTTATAACGCTATAGCATATAACATCGGTAAAACTGAATAAAACTCATCCAAGTCAATCTCAAAGACCTCCACTTTGATCGATAACAATTCGCAGTTGCATAAACAGTTCCTAGCAAGCCAAATTACATGTATATTGCATATATCTGCAGAAGCACTTGTCCTACTGATTATCTAGCGTATTCAAATCGTCTGTACCCGCAAATGATTTCCTTCAGTTGTCAGATATCTGTCGCTATACTCGCAGGTGTTATAACCCGTATCCATAAGTAATGTTTAACAAATTTCTGTTAGAAACTTTCCTCCTATAACGATTGCGAAAGTCCTAAATCGAAAACCAATCGATTAAACGAAAATGTGAAACATTCTAATCTAGATGGATTGATCTCTCTTAACGCCCCGTTGTCGATGTACATGACTAATTAATACCGCTTTTTCATTGCGCAGGAGAATTTGGACAATGCGAAGTACGCGATATCCTTGGCGCGAAAGTGCGGTGCACGTGTCTATGCGTTGCCGGAAGACATTACCGAAGTGAAACCGAAGATGGTGATGACGGTATTCGCTTGTCTGATGGCGATGGATTACATCCCGAATATGGACTCCGTGAAAAATCAACAGAACAACATAAACAACGGCCAATAATGTCGGCATCAATCCGTCGTCGCGTTGTTCCATCTAATACGTGCCGTTTATTTTTTGTACACAAGAACTTTTGGTCGAATCGCGCTGCCTCACGCTTCTTCCACGAGCGTAATATTTGTATATACATAGATTAAGTTAACTTGTTTTGAAGAGAATATTAAGGATTACTACTGCTAGGAAGAATTCATAAGACGAGAAGGGGAACTCCTTTGGAACCCTGACGAGATATCATTTGATCCCTATTTGTTTGTTAAACGAACATCGTGTGAGGTACATACATACCAAGGAATGTCAAGATTATATTTGGTGAAAGAAATTGTATTACTATAAAATCTGGATATTTTGATTAAAACATATGAATATATCTATATATATAGTCAATTATCTGAATGTGCAACGAATTCAAAATTTATAAAATACCATTTAAGTAGATCTTTTATTACAAAATATGGCGATAATAACTTCGATCTAAGTATTCAAGACTCACAATATCAATTACTGATATTTCTCGTGCCAGAAAATGTATTTATTTACGAGATAAGTAGGTTACATGTTGTCATGAAAAAGTCACTCGAATTGGCACTATTTATTTTAAACACTTTTCTACTACATGCGACTGATTATCGTGTCTTACTGTGCAAAGTGGAATTCTCCTTCTCCATCGTTTATACAATCATATCACTCGTTTTCATATTACTACTTATACCATGTGTCAGGTTTGTATAAATCGATTTTATATCAAGTACTCGTAAAGCAAGCAAATAGAAAACACTCTAGAAATCATTGAGAACTATTCAAAGTGCATACTCAAATACATCCTGAATTATATCGCGTTAATTTTAACGATACATATCTTGAGAAAAATTTTCATTTCGGATCTGTCAGCAAGATTATTGATTATTGAATCTGAAAAGTTGTAATAAATGATAATTTTCGTAAAAGCTTTTTGTTTGAAGAAAAAAGATTAATTTTTTATTTGTCAATAAATTAAAATTAATATTTCATAAACATTTTAAGCAGATAAATCTTGTCTCGCACATGCTACATAGAACGGTAATTTAACATTCAAATTACATATTACACTCATAATATATACTTAACACGAGGTATACATACGTATTTGATAAAATCTAGATGTAAGAGAATTGTGATCTATTTAAATGGTTATTTTACGCGCTCTCAATGATTTACAGTGTTTATCAGAGGGTCATAACGGTCTAAAGCTTTTTGGTCGACTATTTTTTCTACACATTAATATCACATGAATGCACTTTATATCCAGCGTAATTTACGATGGCTGTACAAACTATATACCTTATATTTCTTTACATGTGTATTGCGCGAGAATACGATGACTTTTTATACATTTTGTCTGGCTCTAAACAATAATTAATTCTTAAAATGGGAAGGAGGAGGCCTTTTGATACCTGCCCTCTTATTAGCGCGGCAATAGCTTCTGTGTCATTAACGTATTCGACATAATGCATATTCGAAAAATATCAGTCGATGATTGATCATGTGCCCTGTAAATGGACGACAATGAATAATAATTATGTAATCATGTTGACGCACAAAAGTAATTGTAATTGTGCCATTCTAAGTATCGAAGTCTAAAACATGATTTAATATTTACAATATATTTATAATAATTATAATCGATTCAGATCGAAACGTACTTATGGATCTAAAGATGGGTACTAAAACAATATTCGTGATTGCTCTCTGTGAATGAGAGAATTTAAAAAACGTAGGTTTCGCTCAAGCTTGCGTATCTTTGCAACGTGTGTCGTGCACGTAGCGTATGTATATATACATGTACAATATATATAGATTGGGGAATTAATTGTTTTTAGAAAATAAATGCTCCCTTTACAATCAAGCGAAGGATTAATCGCAAGATGAACCGAAGCGACTAAAATTCTTTTAGAAATATTTTAGGACGAACTCCATTGTATTGCGTGTAATTAATTAATTTGTGTGCATTAAATTTTAGAAACTGCTGCAAGGGATGGATATTAGATGACATTTATATAAAAATTTAGCATGCTTCTTGCATTTACTGCAATTATGTAGTCGTTGACTTAAATTACGATGGATTAGTTGTTAATTCTAAACGAAATTAGTAGGTGTGAGAAATTATTTACAATGAATTAAGTGCAATGCATATTATCGCGATTTGCATAGATATAGGTACTTTTATTACTTTTTCAAACTTATTTTTCTTATGGATATTAAAAATTCGTTGTCTTAATATCATTAATATTCATTAATATCAAAGTTGCATTATTATTCCAAGAGGAGACGAAGTATAGATGCATGTGAAGATGTGGTTATAATACATTCATATAATATATGTGGAAAAAATTGATCCAAAAAAGGACTAAAACTGAAAAGTGAAATTTAACGTGACGCAGATTTGAAACGTTTGTATTAATATATGTGATTCGCGATAACGCGATTCAAAATTCTCGAGGGCCATTGCAATTCGACTAATTAGAATTAAGTATCGGCAATCATTGAATAACTCTCAATTTACACAATGATCATTGTATACGTATACATTTCATATATAGACACATACGCGCGTATACACACAGATAAGATACACGCACATTCCATATTGTGTATGTGCGTGAAAATGCGTCCATTCTAATTATAATTTAATGTATGCGTAATTTAAATAAAAGAAATTTACTACTTACAATTTTATTTCATTAACTAAAAGCAATAATACGTAAAATGAAGTTTATTAGAAGAATAACCTTAGGAGCACGTTTGGTTAAAATTATTTTTCACCTATTTTTATCTATATGTTATATATTATTTCTATAGTATATAATAAGTTTTTATTTTTCATTTTTTTTATTTGTTACTCGTTATTCTTGTTATACAAGTAATACACGCGTACAGTAGATTTTTATATATTATGTACTTCGTATATTAATTGGTACTGAACTTCTATATACACATACAGACTTTTATTGTGAGATGTTTTCTTTTAGGATTAACTTTATTGTGTATTCGTAATATTAATATTTTTAATAATTGTTGTTATAACGAACAATAGAAATACTTCTTATATCATCATTAGCAAGTATCTCGGTCTCACCCGGTTTCACGATCGCGGGTGGGTGTCTCGTGGCAGGTCGAACATCTTCCAAGATTACCTTTGCAATTCCGATCACGTTGTACGTTTTATTATTTGAAACCGACGTTCCCTTCCATGTTGTAGACGAACTGAAACTCGTTTCACTGATTTCCATGCGACTAACCGTATGTTCCTAAAAAATGACATGAATTTTAAGAATAATTTTTGATTTCACAATTCTTTTCGAGTACAAAGTATTAAACTATCATTTTTTGTACTTATTAATTATATGAGTCAAAAATATGATATCTGCAATGTAATATATAAATAGGAACATTTACAAATTTTCGCTTATTTAAGAAATAGTTAAAAAATATATTACATTAAACGTTAAATAACAATTATTACATTCAAAGTGATTAAATTTGTCGAGGTCACACCATAAAAAATGAGTTATATTAAAATCTAATCTTCGCTTGAATTTGCCAAGATTTTTTAAATAAAATTCCGTAAAGCATCGATATTAAAAAAAAACTGAAAACAAATTAAAATTATTACAAGCAATCATGAGGAGCATAAGCATTCGACGAACTACAATATTGTTTAATATAATTAATTATAATTTATAGATAACTTACCAAATCCACATCCAAGCGTTCGCAGACGACCGTGTCACCGTATTTGCGATAGTAGCAGTCTGCGTAGCAGCTACAATTGTTGAGATTCGTTGTCTTGTCGATGACGAGGGTTTCGGTAGAAGTCATATGCATATTCCACGGTAGTAGTTTCAATCGGAAACCGCGATGAGATCTCGTCTCTGCGTTTTCAGTCCCGGTACGATGATACACGTTGAAGGTGACGTTACATTTGCCTATAGTGGATGCAGTTACACCCTCGAATGTGCCGTCTCCGATATTATTGAAATCGTCACCGGGATGCAGCTGCTCGGCCATCATCTTCAAGATGTTAAGGTCGTAGGTGTGCGTCAGCTGGCTCGTAATGATCTTCTCGATCCCTTCCTCGTTAAAGACTAGCTCGATAGGCGCATTGGTGATGTTCCGCTGTCGGTTCACGACATTGCTCAGGAGAGCCAGGAAGTTGATACCAAATTCAAGGCCATTGACGTACCGTTGGCTACAGCTCAGAGTGTTATTTTTCTTCGGGATGCAATGCAATCGAGAGGTGATATGATAACCAGATGGGCCGCCACACGCTGAAACGTGACGAGGACACTGCGGTGTCCCCGTCACGTTCATATGAACGGTGAAGACGTACTCGGGTCCATATGGCCACGCACCATCCTTGATGGGAAGTTGCACGACTGAGATAGGAAGAAGAGAAAAATTTTCATGAAGCAATTTGTAAAATAAGATATCACTTTCATCTTGGATATCATATTATTATTACGCAATTATTATACTTGTTATAATTATCGCGGCTTTGCATTCTGTTTGTAAAATTTGTTATTTGTTATTGAAAGAAAATATTCCTACAAGAAATATTGCTGTTCTTCAAATTTTAAGAAAAAAAATATATAAGATAGAAGTATAAATTGTAATGATACTCCAAGTTATGAATAATTGACTTACCTAAAAAGAATGGTATAAACGTTGCCACAAACATGTTGCCGTATACAAACTGTACCGTGGTTTGACGCCACTCTGAATCTTAAAACCGTTTTCATATCGCTTTTATACCGCTATTGTTCAAGACGTTCTTATTATGTAATTCATTTTAATTCACTCGACGCGCTCAGCGCTAATTATTAGACGACTTCGTGGAAATGTAACGCACTTGCAACTTTGACCTCTAACAAATTCGCTACAATTGCATATTTCCTAGACAAGACTAATCGTGTGTTACAACGTTAGAACTTTTACACGAATATATACTTATATCCAAATTCATTCCATAGGAAATATTATCCTCCCTTAAAGTAAAGTATTCGTAATGAAATTGTCTTTGGTTTAGTATGATTACTCGGAAAAGTCACTGATTAACTACATGCCTCTGAAAATATTGGAAGCTTGGCTTTTCTCAGGAATTATATTTCCTGGAATCTTAAAATCAAAAACACATTAGTGTTGAATTAAGTGGAGAGAGAGAGAGAGAAAGAGAGAGAGAGAGAGAGAGAGGGAGGGACGGGATGGAAAGGATTAAGACTTCAGAAACGAAAAGAAAGAAGAAACTTAATTTTATTTTAAGATACTGTTCCTTTAAATCTATTTACAGTTTCATAGTTTTAATTTGATTAAATATTTAATACCAACAAAGTATATATACTTAACCTTTTATGAATTGAAAAAGGGTCAGCTTGGTATCACAAGTGGGATTTTACAATTGCCGAAATGTCAAATCGATATTGACTTTTGGGAGTTCAGGCTATTTATTTTTATATAATTAAAGATATCTACAATTTTATGAATAATTGCAAATGAATAAGTGCAAATGAGCAAACGGTTTTATTACGTACTTTTATTACATAAATGTATATCTATAAAAGACATATTAAGTGTCATATGTACAATAGAATTACAAGTGATAGTTCGTTTCATTTTAAACAAATTAAATCTAAAAATGTTGCCAAGATTATATTTAAAAAATTGATGTTTTGATTCTTAGAAAGTATATAACTTTCTAACTAAAAGATAGTTTAGAGAAATTAATTTTCTGTTATGCGTCTATGAAAAATTTTTGATACTAATGACTAATATGTTTAAGGGTTCTTTAATGCGAAACATGCTTTCTCAAATAACATTAGGTAATAAAAAGTTTTATGCAACACGTGCATGGAAAGTGCCCCATTACGCACGCTACGCGTGCGTGATAGACCACTTTCCAGGCACTTGCAACATAAAATAGGGAGTGTAAGTCGTGTGTAAAGATGAAAATTCCCAAGTGCAGTTACCGGAGGGGGTAAACTCCGCACCTGGGAATTTTCATCTTACCTCACTTGTTACACAAATAACTATTAAAGTGCTGTTACAAAATGTTTTATATATGTATGTACATTAATATATTTTATATTTGTATTTCTTGTTTTAGGATACGGTCACATTGCACCGAAAACAAAAAATGGAAAAGTAGTAACTATTTTTTACGCCAATCTCGGCATTCCTCTCATGTTGCTCTGCCTATCAAACATTGGAGACGTGATGGCGTCGAGTTTAGGTAACAGACAATATTTAATCTCATACACACGCACACACACACACACACACACACACACACACACACACACAAAACATTTACTTACTAGTTTTCATTAGCGCTGAAAAATAATTGTTTTTTTTTTTCGTATTCATTGTATTTTTAGGTTTCTATATTGGAAAGTGTGCTGTTACGTATGCACAAAACCACAAAAAAAAACGATGAGGACGTAACAACATGATTATAGGTCGCATTCTGTTCGTCAACCAGAGTAGAGTTTTATACATGATACATTATAAAAGTTTAAAAAAATGTTTTATTCTAATAATTGTAACATATATAGGTAAATATAAAAATGTATTTTTATTTCAAATTAAAATCGATCAGTTTGCCGTGGAGAAAAGTCGGAAGTTTATTTTTCGCAGGTTTAATGCTGTTCAAATTAATCTGTATTAGTTCTTTTAATGACGACACCTCAAATTTGTATCCAACCAAACGTTTTGCTTTTCCATCGAATTCGGTGAAGGTTTCGAATTTGTTTGAATTGATTTGTATTTTGCTGACAAATCTTTCCTGGAAAAATTATAATGCAAAAATTTTATATACACTGCATGGTACATGCACTTATATATACGTACCATTTCTAAAATTTCCATTGTGAAATCGATATATCGTGGTGAATTAATACATTTTGTCCGAGATTTCTCAATCGAGAGAGTCGTTCCAGGTTTCGCATCGGCCAACGGCAATATCACGAGCCGAAAATCGACATTTTCTTTCTCGAGCGTGTCCGTCTCGACTTTTTCACGTGTGATATCATACGTGGTCGCGCAATTTCCCATTGACGAATTTTCCCTGGTCATAAACTGCGACATGCCAATTTTGCCCTGATCGACAATCACGTTAAACTGATTGGCGATCTTTCGGAGGATGTTGACGATTACTGTGTTAGACAATGGAAGGTCGATTATCAGGCCTTTTACGCCATGCTTGTTAAATTTGATTTCAAACGTTCCTCTTGCTAGTATTTCTCGCGTTATGTTGTAATTATCCGATTCCGTAAAGTTGGTCAAATAGCAGAATAGATTGTCCGGCATTTTGGGACGACATTTTACTGTAGAAATCAATTGTACCTGCTCAGGCTTATGGTGCTCATGAAAGTTTTGAATATAAGTGATGTTCAGGTCGTACAAGTATTCTGGCCCAAACGTCCATTCCGACGTGTCGTTGACAACTACGTTGGCCGCTGAGTAAATATGACGGAAAATTTAATCAAATTTAATATATTAACATACCTGTCGTTAAAAAGATATAATTTTTGTAAATAAAATTTCCTAATCTCTCTATAGTCATGTACGAGATACTTACCCCTCCCTCTCTAATTTTCTCATTTTTCGAAAAATTTTATTCTAAACCTCTACTAATTTTTAAGCTCCTCTCAGTAAAAATATTGAAAAATCAATAATGTAGACACGTCTCAAACCAGTTACTTATATTAATACTATTAATAAAAAACACCATTTTAATTGTAAGACAGATTATAATAATTCGTCATGAACAGTAGCATTTTTAAGAAAAATGCAGGCAGATAAATATATCTAAATAGTCATATTTGAATTTCCCTGACTAGCTGTTCTTTTTATTTTATTTTATTTTACTTTTGTTACATATATTCCACCAATTTTTAAAATATCTGCAATATCGTAAGATCGAGTGCACGATAATATATATATATGTTGCATTTGTTTAAACGCGATTTCGCATTTGGATAGAATGCGACGAATGCGACGTTAGAATTGTAGGCACTTGGATTCAGGCAGTTGTACTTGTTTGATGGCTTACCAACCTAGGAAAAACGGGATCAGGATGACGTTCATCTCTACGCTTCGTTACGCACGTCGATACTACTCTTTTTACACTCCCACGCTTCTTTATATTAGAACCTGCTCATGATCTAACAGCCTAACATTCAACAGCGCTTGCGTCTCTAATGAGACGCTATATGACTACACGTGACACATAAACGTTTATGATCGTATGCATGTACGATCATAAATTACGATAATATAATGTAGGCAACATATACAGAACGTCGTAACTTTAACGTTTATGTTCACGAAACTAATATTTGCCCTGATTAATTCCATCAAAATAAAAAATTTATATTATTGTACATTCTAAAGCGTTTATTTATGACATCGTACCAAATAAAAATGTTATACTATTTTTAAAGATACTTCATTCTTTAAAAGTTTAGACTGAGAATTAGGCGTTCTTTTCACAATTATATCTTGCAATTATAATTATAAGATAATTATAACGTACGTGATTGTACGTCTTTTATCGTGACAACAAGCGCACTTTAATAGGCGAAGAGCAGATTAAGTATTTCGTCAAAAGCACATTGTATTTTATACGACATAATGGCAAACACATTTCTTGGGGAGATTTGTTAAGTAGAAGTCTTTTTGCACACGCGCTTTAAACAAAGTCAAATTGGTTCAATTCTCTGAATGTAACGAGAATGATCACTGACAATACAGCGAGAACACTTAAAGCAAGGAGTACTACTGAATGATATTCAAAAAATTAATGTAAATCCCAGTGTAGCTGGAATTATTTTCGACTTAAACTCCTTTAATATAATTATATTTAACGATTTGTAAACTATACACTACATTAAATAATATAAGTTTATTAGAGATTATATATTATACATACATATATTTTTTTTCAGTAATGTGTGTTCTCAATGACGTTAAATTACAAATAGAAACGTCATTATTGACGATATATATTGATTATTCATAATCGACTATAGAATATAATTTGTAACTAATTTTCATGTATAAATCTGTGAAACGGTTTTTTGGATTTTCTTCAATATGACGAACATTTTGGATTATGCGTCTTCCGAAATAGCTTGTAGATTTGAAAAAGCGAATAGACTCGTCGAGGCTGGGTTTTGGATTTCTGGCAGGGAAGATCGGGCAAGATCTATTCGCTTCAATTTTAAACTTATCTTTTGGTAAGGTCGCATAATCCGCGAATTATTTACCGTTTTCATTACACCCTCTGACATCGTGTAGGATACGAATCTGTCTCTTGAGATCGTGATATGACTGATGGAAGTGGTCTGAAAGTAAAAAAAAAGAATTTTTTAATATAAAAATGTTGTTCATGCCGATCGAAATTATTGTGTGTTTTAAAGAAAGGAAAATTTTTTAACAAGTTATTTAATATTTTGGAGAGTACAAATTATTAAAAAGCAGATTATTTCAGAATCTTTAACGTTGCAAATTTTGAATATATTAATATATTTTTTTTTAATTTCCAAGAATTGTACTTTTTTATTTATACTACCAAATTGAATAACTTTAAAATATTCTCATTATCGTACCATATCCATGTAAAGTTGCCTGTCACCGTGACTATAATCCTCCTGATTTCCAAAAAAGTATATCGTTCTTCGCGGACATTTTTTCGGCTGTCGGATTTTTTCCACCTGAAATCTTTCTATGGCTAAAGAACGCGCGAGGTCTTCGCTCGAGGACATGAATCCAATCTCGAAATTTTCGTTCTTCTCGGTAGAATCATCATCACTTTCCTCGGAATTCGGATCCGTAACGATCTTAACGTCGACTTCGCAGTGACCCACTGTCGAATTTTCCATAATAGTAAATCTATCGCGACGTTCCTGCATCTCGAAACCGACGTTCAGCTGGCTGACTATGATCTTGATCATGTCAATCCTATATCTAGGAATTGACCTAGGCACCACCAGATTCTCGATACCCCTCGAATTGAATCTGATTTCGAAGGGCTCATTGCCCACGAATTTGTATTTCGTGGGTATAAAATCCTTAGCGTTCGAGCATCTATTGTCATTCGGTTCGGGACGTTTGATCCGAGAGTTCTGGAAGTGGCAGCTGAGACTGTCGTCTCCCTTAGGTCGACACTTGAGCTCGGTGGCGGTCATAGAACAGAAATTGTCATTCTCCTGAACGATGTTGGCCAGGGACATGTTCACGAGAACGTCGTACGTGCATTCCGGACCGTACATCGCCCATTCGGACTGCCGATGGGCATCATCGACAGTAATATTTGCAACTGTGAAATAACATAATATGTCAAGTAAGCGAGATCGGTATGGATACAAATAAGTTATGAGATATAATTGTGAAATAAGTATGAGTTATATGGATTGTTGAATTTAAAATATTATTCCACTGTCTACGTTAATGATTCACCGATGAAACAAATTTATAAGGACGTACCTAGAAAAAATGGCAGAATCGTCACCAACATAGCTGATATCTGTTCTTTGACTGATGCTTCTGTCTGTCATCTGCCTCCTCTTTATACAAAAGATAACTGATTCATATCCTTGAAAATAATTTCACGGCGTACCATTTCCGCTTAGATTCTGCAGATGTCTTCCGTATTGGTTGCGATAAGAGCATTGCCTTCGTACTTAGGATTGCTTTAATAATAATAGCATGCATCGCAAATGACAGCAAGGTTTAAATTGATAAATTTACCATTTGTCCTGTTTTTATCTGCTCTCGTTGACGACCGTTTGCGCATACATATCTTTATATGTATATAAGTTAAAAGGAATTTTGAAACATTGAACAACCTGGTTTGCAAATGACATATGTATGTATGTATAATAATAAATAACATTCACAGAATTGATTTAGAAAATTGTAACTTTTGTAATTAGAAATCGGATCAGAAATCGGATATTGATTAAAAAACAAATTTTGATAAAGTGTGCAAAGATATATAATCAATATAAATTTAATATAGACTTTTATTTCTTGCCGTTCTTACAATATTATACAAGTAATAAAGCTTTATTCTCACATATAAAAATTCAACATTTCAATGTTATGACTTTTGCTTATTAATTATTGTCAACATTAGTACGATATAATTTAATTTATAATTATCCCAGATGTCATTCACACGCAACATAAATATTTGCAATATGTTCAACGTGAAAATGTAATATTGCACAATTCCATTATTGCATAACCGTTTGAAATTTAGATAATAAAAGAAAAAATAATCAAAATAAGTCACTTTGCGACAAGTGAATTTCTTAATTTCGCCTTTCATATCAAACGTTCGTTATTTGTTCGTGCACTATGTAGCACCGACAGTGAAACTATTTAGTTATCTTCCTCGGACGAATCGTCGATTAACCACCTGCCTATGAAGATACTAGCGGGCTCAGCTTCTTTCACAGCTGGCGGTTCGCTCTCCGCAGCTTGAATGGATTCGAGCCTAAGCCGTACGTTCTCATAAAGAGTCGTTACCACTGCTTCAGTTATTTTACTCGTCGTTATCACGTTCGATGTACCGGATACAAATTCTGTCGATGTTATGATGATGTGACCATCCGACAAGCTCTGCAGTAAGAAAAAAATAGAGATTAGACTCAATTATCACAGCAATTAAGCGCGTGCCCAGTGAACATAATGTCTCAAATCGGGAGATATGACGTCTTAAAGACATATCTCATACATATCTCCCGATTTGAGACATGCGTGTTGTCTGGGTAATAACGTATTAAACATTACTGCATATTGTGCTTTAATTAAATTATATTTTAATTTAAATTTATATTAACAATAAGTTGAAATTAATTCAAAAACTATTAAAGAGTTAATCATCTGTCAGAGTTCACGATTACAGTAATCTTCATGTTTTACAGAAAAAACGTTCAATTTACAAGTAATTAACGTAAAAATAAATGTACTTAAGTGGTAGAAATGTGCTTACAATATCAGATATAATGTCGCTCTCTTCCCTGAAGCTCTCGGCACTGCCGAAGAAATATGGCACTTTATGCTCGCACATATGCAGGTTCCGGACCTTCCGTATCTGCACCAACTTGCCGTCCTTGAGGCCGAAGACCGGCCTAAGCGCATAGCTGGGTTTCGCGTACAACAAACGTCCCCCGGGCTTCTTATCGATTTTGAAGGTGGTGTAACACTCGCCCTGAGTGAAGTTCTCCATCACGTCGAAGGAATTGTCGCTTCCGATGCCATCGAACATGGCACCTATGCTCAACTGGCCCACGATCATGCGGATCATGTCCAGCTCGCGCGGCTGAATATTCTCGTTCACCACCAGACCATCCAACCCCCGCTTATTGAACTTGATCTCAAACTGATCCTCGTTAACCTCGTAAGCTGGCTGCCGATTTATCGGGCCGGGTGGCACCACCGGTTCCAACGGGTCCAGACTATCCACGTGGAAGCTGCTCGCCTTGGAGTCCTCGAAGTGGCAGCTCAACGTGTCACCGCTCTTCGGCTGGCAGATCAGTTTTGACACCAAGTTTAGCCGCACGCTACCATAGACACCCTCCTCTGGAATCGCCGTGCAGTTCACCTCAACTTGGAATGTGTATTCCGGTCCATGTTCCCATGGCTTGTCCACGGTGAGATGCGCGGCTGAAGAAAAAAGGTCATTATGTCATTGCGCGCACTGAACAAGTTATGACAGCTGATCAGGCGACGTTTATTATTCGACTAGAAAGATTGAATGGGCCGGTTAAGCATGAATGAACCTAGATTAGAGTGGTGGTGACGTCAAACGGGCCGACCGCGACGTTAAGTCTACGGTTAAATATTTCAATTACATAGTGTTTTTCATGTTTCTGATGGATATTATAATATCCATCATATTGTTCGGTTACGCAATCGATTGTTCGATTCGCGACACACCGATTCGGACGCGTATCATTCTGGCTATCGGTACTTACAATAGGACGCTCTTTGACAAAACGAGAATCGATCACAAAGTACCGGAAATGTCGAACGCGATTCGAGTCGAGTCGAGTCGCTATGCAGGTGTCACAATAATCCCAAATTCTCACCTAAAAAGAACGGTATCACTACCACGTTCATGGCGACACCGTGCAACGTTGATCTACTTTAATGGAGTTACTGATGTACGGGCTGCTCTTATACGAGTGGCTAAACTGCACTACTGACCTCTTCTTACGATTAGCCAGCTCCAATTTATCCAAACCCGTTCTCTATTTGGCACTGGAAAATAAAGCGTCTGCATAAGAATAACATCTTTAGAGATCAACGATGGCATAGCGATGGCGTTCGGATAAGAAATAAATAACGATTAAATATATGGCTTTGCGGATTCGATTATTTGTCGACGTATAATTGGATAAACTCTATTTTCAAGCGCACATGTGTTATATTTATAAATATAAGAGAAGTAGAAGAAAAGACATTTGTGTGAAATAAGAATAATAAAGCTTAATAAAAAATAGGCGATCAAGAAAGTCACTTTTTGACTATATTTGTTATTTAAATTAATTTTTCTTATTGGTCTTGCTAATATCCGTCGTGATTTATCTATGAATCGTGCATAATAAAAAGTACTTAATAATTATGTTCAATAAAGCCATATCTAAAGGAAAATAAGATGCCCAAGAGATTTCTTATCACAAATTGTACCTGTCGTTTCATATCCATGAGATTAAGAATCAATTTCCATGTGATTGTGACGAATATTAGAAGTAATTCTATTAGGTATTATAATAAAATATTAGAAGCTTCTAAAAACTATCACAAATATACGCAAGGAGAAAAAATCGCGCATTAAGATTTTCCCGTTAGATTTCAATCTGCCCTTCGCGGATGATCTCTGACACTGACAATAGGCAGTGATGAGTCTTAATCGAATAATGGAGTGGACCTAACTGACCTAGGAGAAACGGCACTCTAACGAAATCTATCGTGTTGATACGAAACGATTCGGTCACATACTATCAGTCGAGAGTTTAACGAATCGGTGCACCAATAAGAGTAATATCTATCGCTAAACACACTGTTAATTAATATATATATATGTATATACATTATAAAAATATAAAATTCTTTAGGATGCGTGTGTGGATAAATATAGCAATAAAATTGGGATCGCAAACTCTTGTTGGCGGAATGGAGTACGCGTGCCCCGTAATATATGTCGTAAGACTCGGTGCAGTCGCGTCATAATTGAGACGTAAAATATTTGAACGGCCGATACCTACAACGGAGTATGTTTATTGACCCAAGGTCATTGTAATGATTTCATAAGCGATGAAGTGCGCTCGTCATGCGCGGTCTATGGACGATTTAGCAAAAGCAAACGTTGATATAGCAATCCTGTGCGCTAACATAGGAGGTCTGTATGTAACGCATCTCTTCCTTCGTAAGTTCTTGAATTAGAAGTGTATCCGAAAAATTATTTACACAAATGATAAATCAGGCCGATTGATACGTTTGTGTGAGCATCGCAAATTTAAGAAAAAACTTGCACTATTACAAAATTTGCGAAGGAAATGTAACTTGTGGAATATCTTTGTGGTTAATACTCGAGCAAGAAAGTGGAGTTCTCGCGGATCAAGTGACATAATTTTGCCATTAACACATGGATAAGACAATGATCTCGTTTGTGATATTTAAGTAGGTAAGATGACCGATAAGAAATGACATATAAGTTAGCTTATATTAACTTATGCTGCTTAAGCACTTTAGCTTAAAGACCACCGAAATAGATTTTTGCATTTTAGTCAATTTGCTATTTAGCTCTTCATTTTATATATACAATTATTGTACAAAAATATATAAATAACACAAAATATAATTTTATTTTAAATTATTCATATTGCATAAGTATGATGTATTATAATTAATTGAGGAGATTGTGAGGAGAATCAGAAATGTTGAGAATTTTTTTAGATTTTTTTTACTAGTTAGTTTTTGAGATATATAATACTACAACATTAAAGAATCTTGAACTTTGTTATAAATGATCTAAAAACTAATCGGTGGCAAAATTTAAAATAATTTACATGCTAATATTATTTATAAAACAGTTTGTATGTACATTCAAACGGCATAAAGATTGCTTGTAAAAATTGCAATAATTTCTTCGTATTGATAACAATATTATAATGTTCGACTTTCAAATAGAACCAATATGGCCATCTAGTAGTACAATTCTGCAACTGAAACCAAGTTCTTCTCACAATCAGACGATAATTACGTAATTTCGAGAAATCAAATACCGATATCAAATATACAGGAATTAAGAATTGTATAATTTTCACGGAAAAAATGCGGAAACCAGCGGAAGAAACTTTAGCTAATATATCCTTCGGAATTAATCTTTCATGATCTCCGACATCGAGGTAAATCGAACATAATGATTTAATTGTGATAGTATTATATCTTGAATGTATACTTCCTGTTTTACAAATTGTACAAGAATTTATATATACATAAAAAAAATTAAAGATTACTTGATAAAAATCGCGTGCTATGTTAACAACTTAATTTTAACATAGGCATGAATATATTCTCTTATGATATTTTATATTTATGTATATTTATGTAAAAATTTTATGCGATTATTGCTGATAGATTTATATATACGTATGTATGTAATGTATACATGTATCACTTAAAATATATGTTCTGTAATTAACGAAAGTTTTAAATGGAACTGTAGTTCCTAGAATTTTAAGTTTGGAAATTTTAACACAAAAATCGATAAAGTATCAAGAGAACATAATCGGCAAAGAGGATGCACTATGTAAAATTATATATTTCACAATTTTGTAAAACCCACCATTTAAAAGTAAATATTTAAGACTGAAAGAAACTTGATAGAAGATTAAGATTGATAAATGACTGTGGAATAATGGGGCTTACGTAACAATGTCACGACTAGTTTCGCCGTACCATCCTGGCACAAGGAAATCGAACTGTTGCATTTATAACGTACCTTCCTCCTGCTTATTCCTGTACATTTATCGATTCAAGAACGGCGTGTTTATTTTATCTCTTGTCTATCTATATGTCTCTTGTAAGAATTATAATTTTTTAGAAAGTGGTTGTGTGTCATACAAAAATCTCGAGATACATTTAAAATATAATCATGAAAGCTTTTTGGAAATAAAAGTTATGTACATTTGTACATAATTCAAGAAGAATAATACTCTATTATTCGCACACACAATCTTTTATATTCAACATTTTTTAAGTAAAAATAAAAACAAATACTATTATTGAGTAATAGATTAGCATATTTCATTATGCTAAAGACACTATATGTTTAAATTTAAAATTGATTTCCAATACACTTCCTTATCGATGATTCTGCGTCGTTGTATTATATAATTTTTGTTCGATGACAAAAAAAAATCCGTCACAAATCACGAACAGTTATTTTTATAATATCGTATGATTTAAATTTTATTTCATGTTATGCCATAATACGATGACGAATACGATTAGACGATAATTTATTATCTAAGGTTTTTCGATATAATTATTATTGCACTATTAATTTTATTATTACTTAATTAACAGCTATATTGCTTTATTATAATGTTCGACTATAAAAAAGATGTATAATTATATATAATTTATTCTCATAATTGTTTTATATATCTATAATATATAAATAAAATATAACAATAATAACAATAACAAATTACATAAATAATATAATAAATAGGGAGGTTGTATATATTTATTCATAATTTAATTTAAAATTTCTAGTAACTACTAGTGCGCGAAATGCAGGAATACATCACTATTTACTTTACTATTTCTTTATTGATCTGCATATCAAAGATCATCGTTTTTCATTCGTGCAAGCGAGTATCTGACGCGCAGTTATTCCAATGACGTAGGTGATTCCGAACTTTATATACACAGTGACTTATGTTATAAACCCACGTGGCAAGTTTTTAGGCGTGTCGAGGTTGATTTGTACAAATATGTAATACAGAATAAATATAATAAATTTTTTCGCTAAAGCGTTTATCTGAAGTATTAATAGAAATATTCGTCTTATAAAAATAAATTAGCATTTTTAGAATATAATATTCAAGTTATAAATGCGGGCAAATCTATCTTGAGATCCATTTTTTAGCTACTTATATTTATCATAGAAAATGATCTTAAAACCCAATTGTCTCATCGTGATCGAGCAGTTTTGCCATTTGCACGATTTTGATGACAACAAATGTTTATGAAAGTCGTACTGCAAACGAGATTTCGCTTTATCATTTTTAACGGGAACTATGACTTCTCGCTGGTAACTCACGGTGAAATTTATCACGCCTGATAGTTCAAAGCTGGTTGGGAAAAACCCAGTTCAGCACCGTTTCCATTAAAGCCCGCAGCAGCAAGCGGCCTTTAATTCCCACAATCTGATTCCATCATGGTCAGACGAGAAGAACGATCGTAAATACGTTTTGCTTTAACTATTTCTGTTTCGCGTGACCGCGATTTGCGAGAAAATCGTAAAAGCGCTCTCGATTAGATGCACAAGCACGAAGGCAGTGTAATTCACAAAGAGAAGCATCGTATGCCTCATCTAATCACTTCTGAGAAAATTTCGTTGCCATTTAGAGTGACTTAAGATGTGGCTGAAGATACACTGTCTACGTCAATTTTCTATTGTAATGACTAAGTTTCTATTGTAAATTATATATAAATAAATTCGTATTGGACATACATGCACATGGCATGAAGTACTATTATATATATATTATTATAAATTAAAAATCTTAATTTTACGTAATGTGGCTTAGTACGTTACTGAAATTAAACTTCTCGTGCCTACGCTACTTAAGTGTTTTTCAAGACATCCCGTGCAGATTACTGATCTGGTATTTCCGCGTTGATACGCCAACGGCAAAACTGGAATTTTGCTTTAACCAAGTGGACGTACTTAAACGATGATTTTTCATCAAGAATAAGAGTAAACATTCCGTTGTCACAGAACGAGAAAAAAATCTGTTCGTTCCAAGAACCGACAAAGAAACCGCGGCTCGAACGTGAAAACCGCGTGAAGATAAAAATCTGAAAACAAAAGTCGGAATACAACGGAAAAAACGAGTTCTAAGAAAATGTTCAGAGGAAAATGTACTAATTTTCCATCCTCCTGTCGTTCCTGTATGTTATTAATTGTTTGTGTCGCTGTTTTGTAATTACCATAGTTCACGCGAGTTATCGATAAAATATATAAGCGAACTTAATTGCGACACCCGAGATATTTTTTATGTGGGATAAGTGCTGCACATAAGCTTGGAAAAATAATGTAATAGTTATCAAAGTACTATCTATATTGAATGTTCTGCGAATGATTTATGATAAAAGATTTGCAAAATATGTAATTCTTGATATTACTGTAACATTACTCCTAATGATCCTTTCTTCGTAATGATCGAGAATCTGTAGTTAAAAGCGACATGTGAGAATTTAGTTGATACATCACAAATAATAAGATAATTTTTATCTTCCATATATCTTTTTTATTACGCGTATGATAAAGATTACGTTGCCATGAACTGCCGATCGTACAAATAATTTTTGCAATCCGCTTTTGCTTTCATACGTTGCTTATCTTTTAAACATTAACGAGAATGGCGCGCTCCATCAGGAATCTATAAAAATATGCTAGCATTAAAAGTATCGGTACTTTCCAGAGGTCTTTGTAAGGTTACGGCATCGTTTGAGATATCATTTTTTACTAATGTTTCTCGTTAATGTAATTAAATAATCGCATCGAAATTTCCGCGTGGATTTTGCTGCTATCGCTGTTTCCATGAAATTCGTTCCAGGCAAAAATTCATGCGAATAAACAACTCGTATCTCTTTCTTCACGAACAATATCTGCGGATTCGCAATGACATGGATTTATCGACTTAATTAAATTCAACATCTTGTTAAAACCGCAATGAAAAGCCACGATAAATATGGGCGAAGATATAACGTGCTGGCGAAGCTGGAAAAGCATGAAATTTGTCAGTGTTGCTGACAATGCTGACCTTGCAATTTCACGGTTCGCTATTCAGACATGATTATTCCAAAATTCTCATAATCTTTCGAATGCATACCTAGGAAATAAGTTCATTCATTATTCACTCTCGATTGTTATTGACTAATTAGAAATTAACAGAAGAATAACATCGGAATTACGAAATTCTAAATTTCGTATTCTCTAGAATGTCTAGAAGATTGTAATTCTGAAAAAGTGAAAAGATAAGTCAAACTGAATGGTTGCAAAATCCGAATTTCAAGGTATTATTATTTATTTCTTTTTTTCCTCGATATTATAGAAGAGCTTGATATGCAATAGAAGGAACAAAACCTTGTTTTATATATATAGTATATATTAGGTTATTAGGTATTTAGGAGCATGAGGAGGAGTGTGTGTGTGAATGAATAAGGAAATGATTGTAAACCAAGTCCACTTTCTGGCTGTTATGCTAAAGTTAATAAACTATATATATATAGTATATATTCCACATACTCCTTCTGTGTTTAGAATCACATTTAGCAAATAATATCACCAAATCTTGTGCGAATTCGAATTTAGAGAATTCACCGATCGCGGAATTTACGCGCGTGAATGAACCGAGATCGAAAGAATGACTGAAGACGTAACTTGATCGTCGTGATAAATTGCGAGTTCATTTTCTTCGCTCGAAACTTGGCTCGCGGATGCGCATTCAGGGAATATTTTCTTATCCGGCGGTGATGATTTATTTACATCACTTTGCAGACTTTAACGTCCAGCAAGATAACGCAAATCCAACGACTGGGGGAAGTTGCAGTCAAGTTTCCCACAGACGCATGACTCGTCGGTTTCGTAGTGGGGATCACGGTAAAATCGAGCGATTTATATAGAAGAAGGAATGCTTGCCACACCAGCATTTGAGTTTCGAACGGTGAATCGCATGATCGTTAAATCTCCCAGTCCCGTTGGATATCACTGGTGAAATTTTTGCGTGTTTATCGAGTTTACTAAACGCCTCGAGATATTTGACAATCATGGTAAATAGACTTTTCTAATGTGGTATATTTTATAATGATTATTCCCATTAAGAGAATAATTTCTGTAATTTCTATAATTTCTCTAATTTTAAATAATTTTAAATACATTTTTTTATAAACAAACATTTACAAAGAGAGAGAAAAAAAGGGGAATTTATTGTTTCTCAATCAAGAATATTATGTATTAGTATTTATATTATACTATGTGTAATTTAGAAGAGAGATTGTTTGGATAATTTATATTTATTTTAGTATCAACGTTTAGTTAATAATAATCTTCCTAAATAATTTAAATTTGTTAAATAATGCAGATACGAAATTCTTATAATTTTTTGAAAGTATAATCATTCTTCGTTTATCGAAATTGAGATTATTTTCCCATTACAGCTGAAATACACCATACTCTTCACCACTGTGTTCTGCATGGTGCAGTCGCAACGGCCGTGGCATGCTGGGAGCGGTTCTCGTCTGCCTCAAGTTCTGCCTCAATATATCGATGAGCGAATAGCGGCGGAGCAAGCAGCTCAAGCAGGTCAAGCAGCTCAAGGGAACCAAACCATACCGAATCAAGGGATTCAAGGAACCTCAGGGAGCCAAGGAGCTCAAGAAATTCCTGTGCGCCAAGGGGCACAAGGAATCCCAGTGAATCAAGGAGCTCAAGAAATTCCAGTGCGCCAAGGGGCACAAGGAATCCCAGTGAACCAAGGGGCTCAAGGAATCCCAACTTATCAAGGGGCTCAAGGAATCCCAACTTATCAAGGGGCTCAAGGAATCCCAACTTATCAAGGGGCTCAAGGAATTCCAACTTACCAAGGGGCTCAAGGAAATTCAGCTGAACAAGAAGTTCAAGGAACTCCAATAACTGGTACCGGTAACACGCTGCTCGGAAACCGAATTGACAGTGGAGATGGCGGTTTTGCAGCTGCACCGCCTCTGAGCACGACCATAAATCCAGCTGATCTACCGGTCGATGCTCACGGCGATATTGACCTGGTGAACAGGATCAAGACCTGGCCGAGGGACAAGCAACCCTTCTGGTACATCAACTGGCAGGCGATCCAAGCCCATCGTGGCGACGTGAACAACACTGGCCAGCCAGCTCAGACGCAACCGAACTCGAGATCGTTCTTCGCGGGTTAAGACTTAAGACACCGGACAAATTCTAAATCGGACAACCGACAAGACTGTAAATTTAAGCATTTGCTTCTAGCAGTAAGATAAGGATCGTCGATATTTATGGTCGTTGACGACAGCGGTTATTCCTAGTCAAAACTGTCTCTTTGGAGAACGCGATTTCACATTTACGTTTCGAAGAGTCGTCAAACAGAATTATTTATATCGATCCGGTTTCTCGAGGACAGAGGATTCGGATTTTCGGACGCGATCGAAAGAAAGGTCACGTGATTGTGCGAATTCGCATGACTTGCTTTTATATACAATAGAATTAGTGACCGAATTTTTATACGAAAAAAACAGAAATAATGATATTATAAAACTCTAATTACAGAATAAATTTTAATATTTCCAGAAAATAATCATAACATTTATTTCAAAACATTACTGAGGAAAGCCGAAATATATATTTATTAACAGTTCAATCTTTACACGCTGTGAATGCTGTGATTTCTTTATAGTCAAAATTTTCATTGAATCATTATAGATGTTCTTTATAACACAATATAAAGTCACTAATGATTTTTTATAGGAAAAAACTTGTAATTAGATTATTTCCAATATCTTCTTTAATTCGATTTAAAAGCAATTAACATATATCATTTACGATATATTTATATTATTCGTTTTATAAAGACGATAAAAACGATTGGATGAGAGGGAGGGCGGCATCGCGTAGTTTGCATTCAATACAAATTTATCAATGAAGTCATGTGTATGTGAATGACATCGGAGCAACGCGCGACGCGACGCGCGACACAATCCACCTGCCGTCAGCCGTGCAGGACGGTCGGCAGTCGACAATGACGAACGCGCAACGTCGTTTACGTCGTAGTCGTGGTACGCGACTCGACCCGTCGCGATTGGCTGGCCGTTCTGCGCACGTTGCTCGTGCTGCCGACGACTCGTGACGTCAGGGCATCGTCGGCCAATGCTGCCTCGCGGATCCGCAGTGTTGGCCGTGCGCGCGTGCGGGACGCGATAGTGTGTGCGTGCGCGTGTGTGGCTGTCTGTGTGCTCGGTGGGTTCGAGGTTCGAGGAGCCACGCGGAAACGCGAGGACGACCGACGATCGACGACGGACGGACGGAGCACGGAGCACGGAGCACGGAGCTAGCATCTCGGTCGCGCGGCGACGACGACGCGTCGCGAAACGCGAGAAACGGCATCAGACGGTCAGGCGCGATATGTCGATCGAAATTTACGTCTGAGAGGTATCTCGTCGCGACTCGCGCGTGCTACGCGTACTTGGTGGAATCAGCGGGCCGAGCGGGCGGGGAGGGGGGAAACCGTGGACCGTGAATAAGGGCAAGAGGCGGAGGAGAAGGAGGAGGCAAATGCGTCTGGCCGCGGCGCGACACACACACGCGGACGCGACGGCCGCGACGGGAGCGACGGAGATCGCGGGGGTGTGGGAGAGAGCGCGAGCGAGAACGAGGGAGAGTAGATATAGCGTGGAGTATACTACCGCGCCGCACCTGACAGTCCACGCGGCCCGGCCCCCGAAAAACAATCTCGCCACGCTATATACACGCGAGGACCGCGCCGTGTTTCACTCGGAACGCGAGCGCCATTGGCAATGTCGGGAAGTGACAGCCCAACATTCTTTCACGGCCAGCCCTGGTCCAGCTGGATCGAAAGAATCGGACGGGACAAGCCGCTGAGTAAGTGCGCTCAATCTGTCCATCGCGACGCCGCCTCCGCACGCCCGCAGCCCGAGGCCGACGGCCACGGGCGTCGGAGGCGCGCGTACCATAACCTCACTTCGACGCTCCTTTGTCCGGCCGATGGTAGCGCGACACACGCGAGCGTGCGCGAGCGCGCGCGCGCGTGCGTTCGCTCACTCGCGAGGGGCAATGTCGTAGTCGAAGGGGGTGTTGTGTACAATCTATCAATGGCACGGGGGAACGATGGCACGCCGTGATTTCTCGCGTGCGCCCCCGTCGCCAATATGAAGCTTCGCGAATGATTTTCAGGACTGACAATTATGTAATTCGAGCGAGCGTATAACGCTTTCGATCATAGGCAGATAGACTCGATTGACGGTGTCTTTGATATGAGACATTGTTACCGAAAGAAAAAGAGAAAACGAGAATCACGCGACGTTTTCTTTCCTCTCGATTTGATCCTCTCGTGAATTTTGTACAACAGCTGTTATGCATGTATGCTAGATGTAAATAAAAAAGAATAAAGTTGACTTATCAATAAAGTTCTGTGTTCTTTATTTCGTATTTATATTTAAAGGCTGAACTATACACTTGTTGAAGAAATTTTAAATATTTCTATTAATTTGAGAATAATCTTTTAATAGTATATGTTTGAGTGTAGATGTACAGTAAATTTTTCTATATTTTTCAATATAAGCATATTTTGAACGTATGATATTAAGCATGAATATCTGACAGATCTTTAATGTATATGCATGATCCTAATAATCTATTAATAAATGTAATATGTGTATGGGCATGGTTAAAATATTTCATATTTTATTATATAGTATATTATAAAAAACATTTTTTTTCTGGAATAAGTATTTTGTTGATTAATATTTGATACTGTTATGAACATATTTCATGTTTTAGGTGATGAAGAAACAGAAGTCCAGCCATCAAGTTCAGTCACACGTCTTTCTTCAGATGGTAATGATTAGTTTCCTCAATATATATTAAAAGAATAATAATAACAATAATACATGAACACAATCATGCATATTATTTCCTTCTCTCTTAGACATTTTCCGTAGTATTAATATAATGAAATTTTTCAGATATTGATTTATATGGCTTTTGTCCAGAGAGGGATGATTTCTATGGAGTAGTGTGTGAAATATGCGATGCCATAGTGAAACCACAAGCTCTCATTCAACATATGGGTATATATTCATATTTTACTGATTATTACATTAGTGAAATGAGTATGATATGGTCAAGAACCTTAAATATTTTTTATAATGCAGGAAACAACTTGATTCTTGATTTTATGAATGTAATTACAAGCCAAAATTATATTTTGAGAACTTAATAGCAGTACGCAATCAAAAATGCAAAATTTTGACTTATTTCTTAATGGACAATACATATATGTATATATAAAATTTGATGTAATATTAAGTCAAAGTTTTTAGGTTTTAATGTGAAAGAATAATTTTGTTATATCATAAAAAATATGTATATACATAATGATTCCATTTACAGTTATAAGATTTATTCAGTCAAATTATCGAAATATTTAAACTTATTAGCGACTTGTATTGCAGGGATTAAACTTGTATAAACACACCTTCTATTTTGCCACAGAGTGTCGCCATCCTTCCGGCATGGCAAATTTCCCGCCTCCTGCGACTCCAATCGCAAAACCGTCCGTAAAAACTCCCTTCTGCAAGGTCTCCAAACTGAAAAGAAGCACCCAACCATCAGCTCCTTCTTCAGTTTCTTCTGCAATTCCAATTGTTGGCGGCGCGAAGCTGAACCACACGACCGTCAAGCGTACTGCGGATCAGACGAACTTGTCTGCAGGTGGCTCGCTGCCGATCTCCTCGTCACCTCGATCGCCTCTCGAGTCGATCACGGTGCAAACTACCTCTCCTAACGTGGCCGGTTCTTCGAATATTATTAGCGCGCCGACAAGCAGCGGAGGCAGTCCGAGCAAAAGCCCTGGTCCCAGCAGTAGCAGTAGCGGCAGCCAGCCTCGTCGGAAGAGACTTAAAGCGGATCGTTCGTTGCTCAAAGACCGCGAGTACGATCCCGACCGGCACTGTGGCGTATGGAACGAGGAGACCGGCAAGCCCTGCACCAGGTCGCTCACATGCAAAGCGCACACTGTCTCGCTGCGCCGAACGGTCGTCGGTCGCAGCAAGACCTTCGACAAGCTCCTCGCGGAACATCGTGCCGCGAAGGAGCAGCCGAATAGCGGCGGTAGCCGGCAGACGACGAAGGTGACGGTCTCCGGCACCGTCACCGTGTCCTCGGCCGTTACCGCCGCCGCTGCCGCCGTATCCAACCTAAATAATCCCCTTGCTCCCAACACTCCGGTATCCATTGCCGACACGGAAACGCCAAGCTCACCACCCGTATTGTCGTTACCGGACACGTATCCACTGCCAAAGGTAAGACCAAACAACTGCTTTTTCGTATTTCGCAATTTTGTATCTAAAATTTTCTCAGACATACATATACTTCCCCCCCTTCTTTCCCCTCCCCCAAATTTCCTGTTTCTGTACTATCCTCGGTGTGAATCTTCTTCATTTGCTACGCTATTGTTACTATTATGATTAGGCTCTTTTGCGCGAACAATCTGTGTCAAGAAAACAAGATTGCTCGCGCAATGATGAAATGAAAGTTTCAGTTTGATTGTGTGTAGTTGAAATAAAGTTGTATAAGTACTGTTCTTTTATGTACATACATATATTATTATTTTCGGTGTATCTGAGAAAAATACGGGAGATAAATATATGGCTCTCTTACTTTCTATCGAAATTAATGTGTACGTTCCGATAAGTTTGAGATATTGTGCATGATGTTGTCTCTCTTTCTTATTTTTTATTAAGCTTTAAAAAGAACTTTCATTTCTGCATACTGTTATAGTAATAGATGTTGGAAATAGATGCTGACTCGAAGAAGGTGATATAGAAATACCTCTTTCTAGAAATGTAAAAATAAATTTGTTTCACTTGATCAAGTTAAGCTCAGACGAGCTGTTCTAGGAATTCTAAAAATTCTAGTGGTCCTCAGGAAATTGAAATCCGGACATATCCGGAACGAATAATATCAGAAGAAATTCACCACGTACCTTTCACAAAAATAAATATCAAATCCAACATTTCATATCCATATATCATCATATTCTTAAATTTACGTAGTACGATTTTGATATTATGTTTTACAGATTATTTTTAATTTATTAAGAACAAAGTTTATTTGAGTGCGTATATTTTTATGCTATACAATTTTTTTTTAATTATAAAATTTATTTTTAATAGATAATAAAAGAACCAAAACCGCTTAAAAAATATATAGATAGATTAAAATATTTCATATTTTTAATTTGTTATATGCACAATTTTTCTTAAATACTTTGGCTGTCTGATAAAAAGATAAATGTCATCAATCTTCGTAAATTTCTTTAGATGTTCAAAATATTAAAAATATTTCGTAATCAAAATGGAAACGAAAAAGAAATATAGAATTATACGATTCTGCTGACAAACATGGATCGATCAACCCAGTCGAGACACAACCACAAGTTAACGCGCGTAAAGACAAACGCAGAGAGTGTCGGTTGATACTTGTTTTCTGTTTTTGTTATTGCAGGCTGTTGATTTGCTTTATCGGTGTCTGGCCCCGCATGGCTCCACTAAACCTGTAAGGCATGGTTTCTTTTAGGCACTTAAACGCCACCTCTTCTTACGGGCTCTATAATTCTTACTCTACATAATGCCAATGTTTCTCTCTTTTTAGACCAAACTCGAGGAGGACTTTGTCAATTCGGAGGAGCTGCGGAATCTGGAGTCCACGCTGGTGGTCAATTCTACCGTCGCTGGCAGCAGTAGTAGTAACAGCAGCAGCGGCTCGTCGCAACAGCAATCAAATTCGATGATGGCACCGATATCCGTGATGCTGCCGTCACTGTCCCCGTTACCGGGTGCCAACAGCGAGGAGTCGCCAGGAGTAGCTACTTTGATACCAAGCACTACCACGACACCCACAATGCCAGTCGTACCGGCACCACTGCCAGCCACTTGCGTACAACCACCCACGGTGGTCGCCACGGTGCTCGAAGGCGAGACTCCGGTGGACATCGATGCCGAGACCATGTCCATGTACTCGCCTGTTTACACCACCAAAGATACCAAGTCCCAACTAGTGATGCAGATACAGTCGCGGCCAAATAGCCATTCGTCACAGTCACCCATCTCGGTCAGGAGCTATCAGCAGATGCAAGCTTCCATGCCGAGTCTGAATCTGTTCGAACCGGTGGAGCAGCTGGAGCAACAGCATGCCAGTCAAATCAACGGCAAGAGACTGAACCATGCGAGCTCGGCGTCGCGGCAGCAGAAAAGGCACAAGTCGCAGCATGAACACGTGTTGTATCAATCGTCGCAGGATTTTCCGACGTCTGCGTCGATCCAGGTCGAAGCAACGACCACGTCGTCGCCGTATCCTCACTTTGGCGATATCTCCTGGTCGAATTGTCATCCGGAGCCGTTAGCGGTTAGCCGGTGGCTCCGCATCTCGTCCAGCCGCAAACAATACAACTTTAATATTCACTGACACAAGACCCCACCCACTCCGGGCTGAGGACCGTGTGTCGCGGGCGTCGTTTGTCTACCTCCTTATCTTCACGAGACCCCCTTTTTCTTCACCGTCGCCCACGTCATCATCCTAATCATCGCCGTCACAATCGATGTTGCGTATACAGCCCGTCGAGGGGGGAAGACTCTTGTTTCCGCCATCATCACAATGTGATTAATTCGCGCAACGAGTATCAATCGCGATGTATCACAGATCGCCCTGGATGACACTCCCGTCGAACCTTCAATGCGTGATATCATCTTTCGTAATATCGCGCAGCACGAAGTTTTCAGACCCGGATCACGAGTACGCTGATTGTCGTGAAGCATCGAGGAAGAATTCTCGATCGACGGCTCATGATGATCGCGTATCTGGACGTGTACCTGAATTCGTGAAACTCCATAAAAAGAAAGAACGGGTTGATGTCCCATTTCCGTTTATTCGCTGAATTTATAATGTAGAATAGATGCGAAGAGATCAAGAGCTAAACAGATACGAGAACGATTGAGAGCATTGAGCATGTCTTGATAACAACGAATGAATGAATGAATGCATAACAACGTTGCGATACCATAAAATTTCTGCACAGAAACTTCACGGTCTACTATTGGGTGAGTTATTATACATCTCGTGACGCAGAACATTCCTTCAGTCCTGTTTTCTTAACAACACGTGTCACGACTCTCTCGCAGTGATTACGGAGACAAATTCTTTATTAGATGATTTCGAAGTGCTTTTCAAGGTAAGAATTTGCGTTTTCTATCAAGAATATTTATGTTATAAATCGAATGACATTGCGATTTAATTGTAAAATCTTTCACTAGATCTTTCTACTAAAAGCATAATGATGGACGTATGTTTAATACATCCCAATTCATTTGTAATTTCGTAATCATAGTCGGAATTGAAATTGTTAAGCATATTACGAATTATTTTAAAAAATCTAATTGTGCTGGGTTTTTTAAAGATTCAATATGTTTTTTGAAAGAGAGAAACATGACTTATGGAATATCCTTTATAATTTTTACATTTTGAAATTTCATTTGTACGTATTGCTTCCTTATTATAAATTATTGCCAAGTTCTAAGAGCTTTAATTGAATGAAAAACTGATATAACTGCACATACATTTTTACTGAACGGTAAAGTTATAAGTACGCAATTATTTTCACAGTACAGAATATATATCGTGCATTTTTTATTGAATTGTGCATAAATTTTGTAAATAGATCGCAAATTATTATATCTGTCCCATATTGTACATAGAAAGGCGTTTAGTATCCTCTAAACACATAGTCTTTGCATAGGAGAAAGAACTTTGACTTATATTTCTCCATAATATAAATAGATTGTACATATGATTGTGCAATCACGATTGCACATATATTGTATATACATATATATACATATATATATTTTTTATCGATCACGATCTCTTATCCCTTTTGCATAAATGTATACTCCGAGAATACGAGGCGCCATTATTTAACGTTATACCTGCTTTTTTTCTTTTTTACCGTTTTTGCCATAAGGATATAATAGAAATTGTAGCTCCGAGTGATTTATTTTTCAACTTGGTTTCATTCTACGTTATATTGAATTTCACGGCGAGACGAGACCAGTTTGTAATGTAAATACATAACAGGGACAAATTGAATATAATCGTTGTCAAATAAATTGCGTTTCGATATACATAAATTGAAGAGGCCAATGGATGAAAATTTGAAATTTCTATCGAGCTTGAATTGGCATATGCGATAAATTTCAGAAATGACAATTTATCTTTAAGTGGAACTCTTTCGTAAAAAGACATAATAAATTTACTTCATCTATTTGCTCTTCAATAATAGCGAATTTGTATTCATCTCCGCTTACCAGTAAAAGTCCTCGTAAATCTACGCGAACGACTGTGTGGCACGATCGATTATTGCACTGATTAAAGCGCTGATAAAGTGCTAGGTCCTTACTCTTCCTTATCCTTGTAGGATATGAAATGAACAAAATGTTTTGATATATGTGACTAAATATTATAATGTAGCTGTGTTACTGTTTAATTATTATATAATTATTAGATTATGACGCGTACTCAACTTATGACATAAACGAATTAATATATATTATAGAGATAAAATTTTTCGAAAATTCCTTTTCTAAGACTTTCTACTCAGGCCTGCGCTTTGTTTTTAGCGCTTCGTTTATAGAACGATTGATCGATCGCTCCGAATAAATCGTAGACGTATCACGTAGGTTTGCACGCGGACCCAAACAGACAGATTAGTGAGCTACTCAATCCCGCTGTATTCACCCAAGACGATTATTTATTTTTGTACGTACTCGTTGATTTGCATCTCTGCGCACTGCAATTTTCCGACGGGTGATGAACGCGCGGGTAACTAGCGATGCGGCAAGACGCATATACGCGGATTTCTTATCATAGATTGTGATATTTAACTATTAATGATTAGTAGGATAATTGTAGATGTGTCTCTATGTGTTCGGCGGCAAGAACGTAGCGCGTTCTATTATTTTCCTGATGGCAGACGGCACGTCTTGCGCGTGTAAGAGGCGCCTTTTGTGCCACCTTCCATCGATTTCGCCTTGTCAAGAAAAAAAATTACTAATCCTGCGGAGACAATCTGCATTGTTCCGCTTAGTTGTTGCTCGCGTATTAATAAATGAATTCCTTTATTGGTGAGCGTAGTGAAAAATTGAAAGATTATAAAAATTAGACAAATTTACGATAATTATTTGGAAAACGGCAAGAGGAATATGGAGAATATGTGTGTGTATGGAGAATATGTGTGTTACGTTATGTACGAATGTAAACAAGCGCTGAATATCGTTACCGCGCAGTATAAAGCGATGCTTCACATCATCGCCACTGATCCTCTCGGCTACCTGAAATCGTGATAACTTGTACATAAATCGTGTAAGCAGATAAATACCCGCGTACCTACGGATATCAATTAGCCGCATAGTTGCATAAGGACGTATTACATATGATGTATATGCATCTGTGTGAATATTGCAAAGGGGGGGAAGGAAGAATCCGCTGGAATTCTCGCAAGCATTGGAATTCTCGAAACTCTAATTGCTTCACGGGCGTCTCACCTACGTAACTTGGCGCGTATAATGCCGCATTTCATATTAGATGTAGTCCTTCCTGATCTGTAGCGTCATTTACTTGACATAAGAATCGTGGGAACGATGAAAATTGCGCGCAACGTTTAGCACTGAATGCGATTCCTTAATTCTGAGCCTCAGTCGCTCGATGTCAACGTAAGACGAGAAACAGGCAGCTACAGTTAGCCCAATATGCGAAATAACACGAGTCAACGAAATGTCGCGGACGGCTAAGTCCATACGCGAAACGATATACAGTTCCCTGTTTTCCTGAAAGCCACCTGTATGTACCACAGTTAGTGTTCATTGCTCGGCGCGTAACGGTCGTGTCAACGGATTGCGAGCGGTCTCGAGAAACGATGCGATTCCGATAGACGAATGATCGTTAAAGAACTTGCTCTTTAGCTAACAATGACTTAATGACTGGAGGAGCCACGGATTTTCCGCGTTATTGTCCAAGCTCCCATACAGCAATAATAGGCGATCCATAATCGATTTATTAGCAATAATAATAAAAAATTTCGTTAACTGTAACGTGTTATTATAAAAAAGCATATTTGTTTCCAAAAGCTTACGCTCTTGCAATCGTCGGCAATGCATAGACAATGTCGATTGGTGCTGGCATGTCTCTGTACTGCTGATGTAAAAAAAGAGGATTGAAAGGGATTCATAGAAATTTATTTTACAAAATTTAAATAAAGAATTTGAATTGTGAATTGATTAAAAAATATTAGATCTTTTTTTCACACATCCACTTTAACAACTGTAATCAGAGTTAAGACATATTGAAAACATTCTTCTACATATACTATATTATACTGGCAATATAGAAACGAATAAAAGAAAATACAATTTTAATCTAATCTTGAACTCGAAATGGATTCCTATGAATTCCTTTTAATTAATTTATTTTTTTATAGAGGCAAACCGCATTAGGGTGACTGAAACCGCTTTGTTACATACCTAAGAAAGTTTCATTTAGTCCTAAAAGAGGGAAAGAAAACAAAGGAGAGAGAAACGAGAGAAGCGACAATTGTATTTTTCTTCGACTCGACTCCCCCTTGCTTCGTTAGTGCGCGCGGCACGAAACGATTAGTATTTTAATTAATTGTAACGAATCCGCGTGAAACTGTGGTGCGGTGGATTAATACATAGTAGATTGATAAATTGATAAAGACTGAATATATCGATGAGATCGGAAGGACTCATCCGGCAAATTTGATTGCTGATGACTTTTAGCGAATTTTTTAAATATATTTTTTCCTCAAATAGCGCGTATAAAACATTCACTTAATTTCCGACATATCGGTATTATATGTTGCTTTATTATGTTGTTGAAACGTGTGCACGTTACCGTTTAGAACGACGGATAGTCGATCTATTTCTCTTTAGCACTGTAATTTCACGTGGAGGAATTAAAAAAAAGGGACACTCTGACTTCAGGTTTATCATAAAGCAAGATATTTTGTGGCATTTAATTTAAATATATGTTTTATATTTATTTGTAAATTGTTTTTTTTATTTGTCCATTTGTACCTTACACCCATTCGTCGATTTATTATATTATCTTTTTTTCTAGTTATACGCATGTACTAGTAGATAGAGAAACTTTTCATGTAAGGATTAGAGATATGTCGCGAAGAAGGCTCGTACAAAATCTGCATACATTATGCGTACTGTCGCTTATTATCACATATCATTGTATGGGTATATGGTAATGGGAATATTTTTTAATAAACGGATTACTTTTATTATTATAGTTAGGAAAAATTGAGGAAAAACTTTTATTACTCCATTTACTCATCATGGTCGAAGTTATGTAAATGGACGGAAAGCCTGTAGACTGAACAAGAAAACATAATTCGTATTTGGTTATTACACGGGCTATACCATGTTGTGCATGTGTAATGGCATCCATGTCAAATGATAATGAGAGGTCCCATGTCCCACTACTTATCATTTACCAGATGATCTGAGAGGTGGCGATCGAATAAAAACAGACGAAATTTTTAATCGGATTTGAACTCGGCTCATTATAGACCAGTGCACATCTCGCTGCATCACGATCGCCACCCATTTATGTACAATATTATGACGCAATATTCCGATTATGTCGTATTATCTATGTGCTGTAACAATTATTCGATAATTAACGCGGCATGTATAATTAACAAATATTTGAAATTGTATATCATGTGATTTCGTAATTTCACTGTCTGTTGACGTGTAAATTTTATTAATATCGCTCATTACGAATTAAAAGTATCGGTGGTATTCATATGATGTCAAAACTTTATTATACGTCATTAAAAAAATCTTTTCATTAAAATTCTCATCATATATAAATGTATAAATTGTATAAATAAATTGCTTCATGAGTGCTTTTTGAAGGATTCTAAAAAAAAAATACGTATCTCAGTAGCAACATTTTATTTCTCAACATTATATAGCATCCCATTCTTTTTTTAACGAAAGTCTAATCTCAGATTTAATGTAACTTCATATATTAAGTGCAATTAAAATTATAAAAGTCATAAACGGTAAAAATCTTGGATAAAATTTTCGTTTAATATAAAAATCGGTTTATTTAGTAAATAATAATCGACTAAAAATTTTTTGAGGATGGAATGCTGCTGCTGGCATACATTATTTTCGGGATACTCTAGGTCGTTGCCTCCGACTGAAACATGCGTACTTTTATTACTCCATTTACTCATCGTGGTCGAAGTTAAATGGATGGAAAGCCTGTATAAGACTGACCAAGAAAACATAATATCCTAAAAGATCTTAAAAATCGAATGTCCACCAACAAAAATGTGTTTTATAAAACGAAATATTACGTTCTAATGTTTATTAGTTTACATAAACGCTACTAATGTTTGCGCAATATAATTGTTGTTGGCGGATTACGTGACCGAGCCGGAAAGATTAAGTAAAAGAAAGTAAAAGAGAAACACTACAACGCGCGGCTTCATTATCTCAACCATCGCCATACATTTTTGTAATAGATACGATTTTTGACATGTAGCAAAAGATGAGTTATTCCGAAACCAGTTATGTTCCGCAAGCGCTTTTTCCTTTTAGGAGAAGAACATAAATTTAGAAGATATACCAAAATAGCAACATCCTTTAAAATCAAACGACACTTGCTCTATAAAAAGAAAACAATTTTACTAGACTGTCTAAAAAACTATATACATTTAAAAAACTCATGAGATTTACAAAAAATTACTCTACTTTTAGGATTACGCGCAATTACTTTCCCATTTAACTAAATAATTTATTAAATAAATGAAAGTTGTAAAATTCTTAAAATATATATTCTAAATTTCTTGCTATACTTATGTAAACTTTCCGTTTATGTAAATGTATTCAACAAGTATACTGCTATCACCGTTTGATTACTAAGACTGTAGTTTCAAATTTGCAGCCATTGTATGGCTGGAATGTTTGCAAAATCTTTTTCTCATTCGCATGACTATTTGCTAGTTACTCGCGCATAATAAACGGAGTGATCCTCAGTTGTATACGATTCTCGATGGATTTCTGTACATACTTAGGCAATGTTTCTGAGATGTTAAGCGACTATATGGAATATCAATTTGGATATTACGTAATTCGTAGCGAGAGAAAGTATTCGATGTATCGGATGTATCCATTTTTGAACTCTTGCTTTTTTTATACGTTATACGTTATACGTTTTTGTCCCGTCGTCATCGTAGCTTTTCGCATAAGTCTTGTATAGATATCGACGTCTCGATTATTAAATAACGTAGTGGCAATCGTGTCATTGTAAGAAAAAGGTATACGGACGATATAATATGGTAGCGCGCGATTTAACTCGCTATAGCGCTCGTGATCACGTTCTTCTCAGGTATTTAACATGTTTGTAAATCATGTAACTCCTTCCCGTAATCATTACTATCGAAGCTAGTCGGTTTCCATTGAAAAGGCTTGTACAATAAACATCTTTCCGTGTCTCCTCGACCATCGTCGACGATCAATTTCTCTCACGAGCAGTCAAGAAGTCTGTGCCACTTGTTAATGAGTATACATTATACTTGAGTATTTAGTGTATTACACTTTTATAAATTTTCTAGGCGATCGTTTTTTATTACTTAACGAAATTTAGGAAGCAATATGTTTTTCTATATACATGATTCGCTCGATTTACGCGCGCAAGATCTTTTTTATAGATTCGAATTTTTTCTGATACAAATTATCGAGCAAATTATACATTAATTAAGATGGTCAAGTTTTATAAAATACGATCTATTCCACATATTTCAAAGAGTAATATTTTTGTCTTGTGACAATTATTTATCCGCGTAAATTGTGAGATGAAAGTTGTTTCGATTTTCATAGAGTAGAACAGAGTGAGTAAGTTTCTGGTGTTCTCTCTATCGCAAAAGCTAAAGCGAGTATCGTACGCATGAAGGAACTTAGGTATACGGATGTGAGAAAAGAGAGGAAGTGCTTTTCAAACATTATATATTCCTAAAAATGGGAATTTTCCTATTTGCGTATATTACGTAAGAAGATTCACGTGTCCCGTAACACTACGCGCGGTCTCGTTCACTATTCAAAAATCTTAATGTAAAATTGTAATATTTAAGAGACGGAAAGGATATTCAGGCGTTAGGAAGAAAATTCCTGATGTATCCGATTTCAATGACCCTCGAAGTAATCTTATATTGCCAACATAGTCAACCGTAATGTAAGCTAGAAAATGAGTGTGCGGGTGATTTTTGTCGCTAACGCAACTCGAACTAATCTTGTATAAACGTCACTGCAACGTATCCTTAGGCTTCTTTCGTCGAGAATGTTCGTGGGTGTTAATAACGTGCGTTTCTGTCTAGAGTACGAGATCGCACTCTCGGTTTACTCGAGATAATTCGAGTAGTATTACGACGATTTATTGTACGAGCGATTTTCACGCGGTTCGCCGTTTGATTACAAGAAGAAACTACGTGTGTAACGAACTATAGGAACTTATATTCTCTATATAATGTACGACAAATAATCATTTAATTCTTGACTACTTTATTATTGCAACAAATAAGAGACGGGAAGAGAGACTATGATCGTGGAAGTGAAGAATCGCGATCCAAGTATCGCGATGGTGTGCATTAAAAGAGAGAAAAGAAATCTCCTTTATGATCACCAGGAACAGTATTGTTACGCAGTTGATCGTTACATGTGCATAAAAGCTTTGGAAATAAAATGAAATCTGAATCCTATCTCGCGTCGCCTATTCTATTATTAAATCCTCTACTTACTACGTACTATTTTAATGTCTTATATATTATTTACAATCTTTCGTTACTTTGACTTAGCAAATATAACAATGTTGAAAATATTGTTAAAAATTAACGAATAACAAAAGCGTTATTAATATTGTGAATTTGTTTATATAAGAACTATTATGTCTTATTTCCAAGTTAACAGTTTTCAATGTTTCGGAAATGTGAAGTTGGATGTCTATTTAAGGAATAACTCCAAAGCAACGTGTGTAAAAGTGAAAGTAATGGCCGAAAAGGGAAGATCGACGAAAAAAAGGATGACGTTGCAGCGCACACCGCTCTTCGTAAACCTCGCAAGAAGGAGTGATACGTCCATCGTGAAAGGACACGACGGTCATGCACAGATCTTCGGGGACGGAGAACTGGTCCACCCACTGGGAATTCCAGATTTTTTCATTCAGTGATCGCGGATTGAGGCATGTACATATCGAAGTTAAAAGCGCGAACTACATTTATTAAAAGTGACATAACTATCTGTCGTAATCGAAGCTATTTAATACTACAGCGTGTATTGAAAATACTAATAATCTGTTATATAAAGATTATAATATGAATACATGCATAATTTTTGTTCGATTTGTAAAGATCACTTTTGTGAACATTTTATGAAAGATTTAAGAAAAAGCGATAATTACGTATATATAATTGCTTGATGTCATCGTACGCGGATATGATGCCTGAATGTTTAGCACGGGTACTTGACCCGCGCTCTTTAAATACGGAACACCAGATTCAACGGACGAAGATAGTATCACCGTGAGGTACGAGAGCAAGATCTATTTGTATGGCTGCGCGGCGTGGAGTGCTCCAGCTGGACCTAATCGACTTGCCGCACGCAAATGAGAAGAAAACGAAAAAATATATTCATGCGTGTAGAAAATTCAATTATTCCAAGAAATTATCCAATCCAATGATAGAATGTCAGAAATCTTATTAATAAAATAGAATAAATTTTAATATTTTAATATTTTAATATTTCAAAATCTTGTCTACATATTGCTACCAATTTAACAGTCTTTTATAAGTATAATTTATGATTAATTCGTAAAAATAATTAAAGTTTACTTTGAAGCGTTAGTTTGATTGAAATGCATTTGAAAAAAGATAGCGTTAACTAGTATCTCGAGATATAAGAATGAAGTCCATTTATTGCTTATGCAAGTGCACCAGCTGAAGCCGATCGAGTAGCTAAATTCGCGCTCTTACACGATCAGGTCATTGCCACCGCTCTGCAGTTGCTTTATTAAACTTTGTTGACTTTGGCACTTGACGAGAAACAAATCATCATTAGGCTACTGGCCGTTGATGATTAGTTCTATGTCATCACAAACATTCCAAGCTACCATTTAATTAAATTTATACGTATAACCTAATTATCAAAAAATATCAATATCAGTCGTAAAATGTAATCATTATTAACAATTATCTATACTTAGCCTATACAATGTTTCTGTTGGTAAGAAATATTTTCCTGACGAAATAAAATTGTTGGTATCTAATGAAAAAAATTGTGACGATGAGTTTCATCGCAATTTCGCGCAAGGAGATTTTAGCGACGGACCTTTACAGAAAAGATTTTTATTCTAAAACGCAGCCTTTCGGAGCTATCGGCTTTCTACCTGGGACAAAGGTAAGAACCTTCTCGGACTTGGTCGGGTCACGTCGGTGCCAGGTAGTGGGGTGTAAAGTTCTGAAGGGCCCTATTCAGGGCCGAAGATTTGCCAGAAGAATGCTCTTTTTGTTGGAGCCATTCCATTCTTGGTTCTTCCGCATATTTCCATGAAGTTAAAAGAACAAATTAAATAATGAAGGTCAAATAAAGAATATCCGTGTAATTTTACAAAGATATAGGCGCAAACTAAAAGATTAAAAAAAAATTATCTACCTTTTATTCTGGGTAAGAATACTATTAAATGACGAGGCTTTCGGATCAAATTGTGTGTGTATGTGTGTGTTTGTTTGTATAATAGAAATTAAGCGTTTCTATTATTTCACTAATGTTGCAACAAAAGAGAATCAATTTGGACTAAAGTC